GTCTAGCAGCAGGAAAACAGGAATGGCATCAGCACAGAGAGAGATCATTGCCCCAAATCAGGACATAAAATAAAAGGCATTTCTATATGTTATCAATAAACCACAGGCAAGTTAATTCAACAGTAAACCATATGAAATAATTATATTTATCAATGAATACAAGTGAAGTATAAAGTAAAAATATACCACAAATACTTTATCAGCTATACCTTATTCTTTCCCATTAAAAATTTTTATGAGAACAGAAGCAATAAGTATCACTTTTTAAAATAGCTATTTACTTGGACCAACATAAATAATTTTTAAATAAAAGCTTAAAACTTGAAAAGTAACTCCTCACCAACACAGAAGTCTTTTGCTAGAAAGGAAATATATCTGGTAAATATATATTATAAAAATATGAATCAACAGGCACAATTTTAACTCAGCTACCAAGAAAAATAATGTTATCCTTTCAAAATTAATTTGCATTAAGATATTAATTAAAAAATAAAAATACTTATTTCTTTTCCTTTGTAATTTCAAATCTGAGCAAAAGACTCTATCAGCCAACAAAACAACCATTCAAAAGACCATGGTTCTTTTTCTCAGTAGCCTAACATGATTTAAAAACTCAGAACAGTGGTCCTGTTTTCAGAAGTAACACTGTTGTTAGCCTAAATCCTATATTGCCCTATTCCCTATTTGGCTATGAATATTTAAAGATTAATTTATGCAACTAACAGGATATTAGGTACCCAAGTGACAGGAGAACTATAACATAACATTATATACCTCCTCCCCTCATCATTACAAACAGTTGAAGGTATCATACTAATTGTATATAGATGACTTTCTCTCTAAAAAAGTAATAACGAGAGATGTAGAGTTCAGAAGCCACTGGATTAAAAACCTGGCTCTTGAATGTCATCATTCATGGGAAAGGCATCATAATGTACTAAGAGCAAAGGACGTTGATACAGGCAAGCTACCCACACACAACCTCAACTGAACAAAAGACATAAACATTTGTGTAAAGAGAGAGCTTTATAAACGTATAAGGCAAATACAGCAAAATGTTTAAAACTGATTAATCAAGATAGGGGATTAGAGGGGATCCTATAATGGATTGTGATTTTCTATAAATTTAATATTATTTCAAAATAGAAAAAAAATTCCCTTCAAGATTGTTAGTATCTTTATGCCTAAGTGACTCGTTAATTGAATAAACGTAAGAATATACATTTTTGTCCAACACTTTCACTCTGCAGATCTATTAATGACACATATGTCATTATATATGATAATATATACAATAACTGTCACAAAAGCACTCTAAGAAACCGAACTCCTATAAGCAACTGTCCATTCAGAAGAGCATAGATAGGTTGTGATCTGTTAGGTAGAAGACTACATAGCAATGAGACTAAATACGCTGAGGCACACCTACAATCAGGAATGAATCTCACAGAGCAATGTTAAAAGAAGGCAGAAACAGAAATAAAGGATGTCTATCATTCCATTTCTAGAAAATTCAAAGGAGCCAACTCAGCTCTGTTCGGTGAGGTCAGAGGGTAGGGATGATCCAGGAAAGGAGCGGTGCCACCGGGCTTCTAGCACCCTTCCACTGTGGCGTGGGTAGCGGTGACGGGATGGCGCTCTCTCCCTGATGGCGCACCAAGCTGTGTGCTTAGGGTTGCTGTGCTTTTCAATGAAAATGTTGTGGGGTTTTGTTTTAACCAGTCGGCACGTTGTTGCTCCTGACTCTATGCTATTAAATCAAAAGAGTTGGCAGGGGAGGGGCGAGGGGGATCCAATCTCTAATTTTTAGAATTTGACATAATTGGAAAAAAAACATCTTACAATCCTCAGTGTTCTGAAAGTTGAGGAGTGTTCCACTCGTTCAAGAACAACACTGCAAATGGCATAACCACTAAAAAGTGAACTTTTCCAACCCCAAACTCATGTACATCTGCCTTCTGACCTCAGTGCCCTTCCATTAGCATGAGGTATGAAAGGCTACAGGAAGCAACCATCAAAAATAAAACATGGATAAACGTGGATTCCTCAAGACAAATGATCAACCTCACATTAAACAATGGAAGTAACTCTGTGTGCATGACAACCTCCACGAGCCTCAGTCATTTGGGGGAATGGCTCTTCCCTACTTAAGAAACGAAGCTAGGCTTCTCTCTATATCCACTTACTTCAGCTAATGCAACAGTTCAACCCAGGGAATGGACTTGCTGAGCGGTGTGTTCCTGTAAGAGGACAGTATTACAGATACTGTGATGGTGGAAAGTCTTGTTCTCTAAACTCACAGCATAGTTCAACTACCTGACTCCAGGAACTGTCAACCATGAAACAACCAAAAACATCCCACATGTCCATCCACACGAAAGCAGACAAACTATGCTATATTATGAAGAATCCTAGACAGTCATGAAAACGCATGAGTCAAGATAGACACAAAAATAAGAAGACAATTGAGATTGTTAAGCCAACAGCAATCCCTATGAAGAGTCCAATCATGTCCTGGAGACTGACAACATGCCACTTAGCATTTGCACAACCTGTATAATCTCAAGTCACAAAGCGGCAGTTCCCGAAAGCTAACTGTATCTAATCTTGTGAAAAAGATGCATCATGTGAGTTATGGAAATTTCCTATACCAAGGACAAAAAACCCAGAGAAAAGCCACAAGGTTCACATCTCTCTTGTGTTCTGGGAGGACCTACTGACAATATCCTGAGCCCATCACATCGCATACAATGAGACTCAAAAATGCAAACCTGTCATTGAGAAAAAGCAAAGAAATGCCTTGGAGATAACCCATGTACTTACAGATAAAGAGATACTGCACCTATCCTTTTAACAAGCTGCTTGAGTCAGTGTCTTTGGGGTGCCAAGAAATATACCCAGAGACTAAAAAAAAATAGAATACTAGGGAAAGTCTTCTCAGCACACGATGACACCAGGTCTTGTTCCCAACAACACAAAGTTTAGATTCTGGGATGGCAGCAAAGAAAGGCATTTGTTAGATCAAAAGCTTCATTCAAAATGGCATTAATCATATCAAAAAAAAAAAAGGTTTGTAACTAAGAGTTCTAATTATTTTTCTTAATAAAATTAATTGGAACTGAAGTTAATACATTAGAAGCAGGTTAGAACAAGTGCACAAGAGTCACTCTAAAACCAACCGGCCACTTTTTAGTAACATTATCAACGTATCACTGGAGAAAATGGCGCTTTGCAAACAGCACACCGATCTCACCTGATTTCATTTTCATACTGTGGGGACAGTCTACCTGAATTCTGGTAAAAGCTTTTCAGGAAAGAGGGGGCAGTGAAGGAGGGGGCAGAGAAGGAAGTGTGAAGGCTTGGAAGGCTGGAGGAAGAATTACTCTCCTTGTACATGCGTCGGGCTGACGGGAGAATGCTGAGTACAGAAAATACAGCAAATTTGTCTTAAAATTTACACTTCAGCAAAATCTTCATTTACTAAGAAAAAGCACATCAACAGGTTCTTGCTAGTAATTTACTCTTTCCTTGAAAGGCTGCAAGCTGGAGCTTAGGTAGAACTTAAGGAGAGGTGCATGCAGTCCTCTGCTTAGTGTTACACGAAGCGCCACCCTTTCACAAGTTGTATTTCTTAACACTTTGGGAACAAAACGTATGTTGACATGCAAAAGAGAATTCAAGGGTCGGGGTTAGAAAACACCAATAGTTACAGGAAAACAATTTCCTGGGAATAACCCAATTGTGAATAGCACAAAGATTAACTACTCTAGAGATACAATCCCCTTCTGAGTATTTATGAACAACATGTTTGGTTGGTATCAATCATCATACACAATATCTCTGGCTTATCAAACATTATGCTACTTCCTTTGTGGACTGCTGATCCAAAGCCCTAAGTCTTCCACATGGCTCTTTTTATAAACAAGGGTCTTTTAGTATAGAATGCTTTTAAATACCATAAAATGGCACCTTTTATACTGATGATAATGAACATTATTTGAATATATATGATATGACACATGGGAAACTCGGGGAAGAATTGAGAGACATCATTTCTCTTTCAAAATGAGTGGCACCTTTCATTCTTGACAATAGTTTGCTCTTGGGGTGAAGAGATTTACTGGCTTGGGTAAAAAAAATCAATGAAATAAGTTACTTTCAGTTGGGTTTTATTTATGTCTCTGACTAACATGGATAATCAACTCTGTTGTCTTCATGGAAAACACAGGGAGAAAAGAAAAAAAAATAGCTGCAAGACATGAATCTGAGGTAAATGGGAAGAAGCCCTGTATTTTATCTGTAATCCTTCATACCTGACAGCAAATAATTCTGTTAGCTTATCTTTAATAGGTCATTCTAATAAGACAGTGCCTGCAACTATATACTCCTTTGTAGAATATATATATATATATATATATATATATATATATATATATATATATATATATATATATATATATATATATATATCGGTGATATATATATATCACCGATACAGTTTTAGGTAAAATATGTAGTAATCATACTTAGCTTTAATATACTATATAAAAACAGTAAAAGGTTGTCTCCTGTGTGAAGGGAACATAGAGGCCTCCTTCAAGCTGGCAAGTTCTTGCAGTCTGACAAGAAGCTCTAGGCTTGACATTTATGCTGACTTGACTTCCTCGGAGGCAGCATTAAAAAGACAGGATATAACATGTGCCAGAACATTTTCAGGCAAAACAATTGCATGTCATGGTTTCTCTATTTTTTTTTTCCTGGGGCAAAAAATAAAAAGCTTCCATTTAAAATGTCTTAGAACTTTTTCGGGGTTGTATCTTAACCTCACCCATCTTCCCATCTTAACTCACTGAAGAAAGCATATGCCTTACTTTTCTGCTCCTTCTGAACCCTAAAATCTGGCTAAAGCATGAAACACAATCCACACTGACTCCAAAGTGACCCAAACAGAATGACATTAGACTTTGCTGTCCCATAGAGGGGGACAGGCCAGGACCTACCTGCATTGCTCACTGGAGCCCTGCCTCAGTAGAGGGGACCGTGGGCCATGCGCCTTCCCATCTTGCAAGTTCAGCTTTCTCCTTGAACTTGAAGGTGGGTGGCTGAACGTGTGAGCCCGTCTTCGGAACTGCGGCGAGTCCGAATCCTCCTCTGGGAAGGCGTGCCAGGCAGAGGACAGCGGGGAGGCTGGCGGTGTCCCAGGAGGAGAGTCCCCCGGAGAGAAGTCCTACAACACAAACCAGGAAGGTGTCTGCCCCTTCCAGGCTCACTACCGACACATAGAAACCCTGGGCTGAGCACTGACAGGAGACCTGTCCTTTTCCTGCCTCCTGACAGAACTGTTTTTGTTTTTCTTCCTACTCAACACTGATGAGGTCTAATCTGTTTCACCACAATCCACTGCTGTTGATAAGCAGGTGTCACTGAGCATCTGAAAAGATGGGCAGGAAAGTGAAAGGCAGATTAAAAAAAAAAAAAAAGGGACTTCCCCCCACCCCCACCCCAGGGCTGTGGTAAAATGTTAGGGCTACTGTACTCTTCCCATTGTTGCCAGAGAGATCAAAAGGGCCATGACAGAAAAAGGACAGAGCCTTTGTTCAGAGATCTCCTAACTTCTGTGAGCTATGCCCTGCATGTTTCCTGTAATGTCAAAACAATATCACAGTGCCTCCATGCCTGGGGCTCAGTGCAAAGCCTTTGGAAAAATAAATCAAAGCCTGTGAATTATCTTCCTCCACTCGGGATGTTTCTGTCCAGTGTCGTGACCCCTGTGGTAAATTTATTTTTAAAAGATGTGAAAAACAGGAAATGAATGAGAGAGCCCTCTGGACTGCCTGTCCCACCCGGAGAAAAGACAACATAAATCTCTCAATCCAGTCAGGTATGCTACTTGAATGCGCATCCCAACAAAACTCTCTGGCTTGCTGAGCCCAGCTATGTGGGCTAGGCCTCTGGTGTCAACAGAAGTTTAATAAAAAAAAAAAAAAAAAAAAAAAAAAAAAAAAGTTGCTGTTTTCCTATTAAGATAACAAAGTTGATTGTGCCCCAAGTTGCATAGTGCAGAAAACAGGAAACAGGAAGCCTTCAATAGGGTTGTCTGTGAGACAGAGACCATGATGTTACAGCCGGAAAAAAAAAAGGAAAACAAAAAAAAGAGAGAGGAAAAGAAACAACATGGAGAGAGAATAAGAAGCTGGGGGAGGGGACTGGTGTGTGTGTGTGTGTGTGTGTGTGTGTGTGTGTGTGTGTGTTAGGGGTGGTAATTCGGTGGTTCAGTTTGTGAAGAGCACAAGCTGTCCGTAGCTGGATGAAAAATCAGCTGTCAACACCCAGAATCTTCTCACTTAAAACACAGCATCGGCTATTTATTTATCAAAAGACATGAAAAAAAAAAAATCTCATCACAAAATAATTAGGCATGCATGTTTTACCATGACTTTGGCTAAGCAGCAGGGTTTAGCGAACTGGGGAGCTATGACTAGATACCTTCTCTGAAGCAAGACTGTTGGACCGTTCAAAGCTGTCCACACTTCCAAGTCGACCTCTCATTCTGTTAGCTCCCTGTGTGAAGACGGTAAATGGAATCATTACAACTACAGCTTGCAGTTTTATGGGAAAAGTACAGGGGGAAATCTGTAGTTTTCACCTAAGCGTTAAGTGGATCCCCTCGGTTCCCTCAAACTTGCAGAGATCCGCCTGCCTCTGCCTCTCCGAGCGCTGGGGTTACAGGCATGCACCACCACGCCCAGCCGCCAGCTGTATTAACAGGCATCAGACCGTGGTGTATACAACTCTTCCAAACTTCCACGGTCTCTAACACAGCTGTTAGATGACAACATGGACACATCAAGCTTTTGGTGTTATTTTGTTTACACCTTAAAGGTTTCTCACCTGAAAGGTAAGAGTGCCCGTAACTCTTTCCTCACACAGACAAATGCAAATGAGGACATCAAAAGACACCGAGCAACCCACACACACCTTCCATACAACATATTACAGACATCGTAATTCACATCACAGGAACGTCAGAACTATGCTAAAACAGAATATAATGTAATCACGGTACTTGGGAGACTGTGGCTGAAGTACTGCAAGTTCCACAGTTGAGACCGGCATGACCTTCATAGCAAGTTCACAGCCAGACTGAACAAGCATTGTATCAAAGTCAGAAATACTGACTTTGACTTAGAAATACTGACTTAGCCAGTGTGCTAGCTAAGCCTGCACAGAAGCAGAAGTCTGTCCGTCATAGCAAATAAAAAGGGCCTCCTAAAATTTATTGATTTTGCTTTATTCATTATTCCATAATACTTGCCGGTGCCAATAAATCATTTCACTTTGCAAGGTTAGATGTCCTGACTGGTTCTTGGTAGACTCTCAACACAATTCTAAAAAGGGCATAACAGATGGCTATCTCTTCCTCTCACATTACATACGAAGAAGCTAAACCACATGAAGGAAAGAAAACACAAATGTGGGTTGAGAAGCAAATCATACACAAGGTCTTAAGAGGTGAAGCATTAAAAATGTGGAAAGGTTCTACAAGGAGTGACCAGAAGCACAAGTCAGGCATACAACAATAGAACAGCGTCTTTTTTTTTTTTTAAAGGAGCTACACAACATTCAACACTATTTATTGTTTTAAATTTTGTCCTCATATATAGTAATAAATATATATATATGTGGGTTTAATTTGGGTGTGGAAGAAATTAAATTTTATTTTCATGTTTAATCAAATACCTGTACAAAGTTTCAAAAGTCAAATTTTGTTAGCCACTGTTAAAATGAAAAGTTTTAGCTCACACCTTCTTCTCTCACACTTTGAGCCACACCCCCAAAAACGAGCCTTGAAATTATTCATACCATTGTTTCTCAACCTTCCTAAAGCTACAACCCTTTAATATAGGTCCACATATTGTGGTGACCCCAACCACAGAATGTTGTTACTGCTTCATAACTATAACTTTATTACTGTTATAAATCAAAATGTAAATATCTCATGTACAGGGTATCTGATATGCGAGTCCCCAAAGGGACTGACCCGCAGGACCACTGATTTATAATACTGATGCTTCCAGGATTCCACTCAGAGTGTTATTATTCCTTAGTCTTTCTCATTCAGACATGATCTGGAAGATGCTTCCAGGATTCCACTCAGAGTGTTATTATTCCTTAGTCTTTCTCATTCAGACATGATCTGGAAGATGACACAAGTATCCTTGCTTGCTTTAACACATACTCACACACACGTCGTGGATTTAAACATGTTTTTGTTTTGGTCTCAGGTGCAGGATGTGGACTGATTCAGATGGTCCACAGCAGCAGACTATTTGCCTCATGTGGGCTCTGAGAGGAGCTCTTTGCCAGCTGCAGATAGTTTGAATCTGAGGACTCTGAAGTCAGAATAAATGCCAAAGCCTAGAGAGTGGAGATTGGAGAAAGACCAAGGCTGCTCCTGCTTCCCCCTTGCTGTTCCTGGTTGCTGCTGTGAGACAAGAAGTTGGAGATCTCCTGAAAAGAGAAATGGACTGGCTCCAAGGAGCCCAATGACCCTGAACAGCAGGGAAACAGCTAAGAAAGAACCCCTCCCCACTAATCCTTTCTCTCTTGTACCTGGTATTGGGGTGAAGTAGGGAAAAAAAGATAAAAGAAAAGTAAATATAAGAGTTCTTTAAAAGTATGCCCCCCATGCACACACTTGCCCTTTTCTCCTTCCTCAATATAGTTTCATCACCACTTTCAGTTAAATCAGGTTTTCTACTTTGATTATCTATCCTGCCTTTTTAAGTACTGTTTGAGGCTAGTTATGTAGTTACCACATTACAATGATTGTTTCTTGTGTCTTGTCTTTTCCTTTCTCAAGGTTTTAACAACTTTTTTCTTAACAATAACAAAATTTTCCAACAGACCTTACATGATCCACCAATGACAGTCTTTGTCCTTGAACTCAGTATAGAGCCCTTTGTCTTCCTGCCCCAATCTGGACTCCCAACTACAGATCTTCCTGGTACCCTCTTCACCATCAACCTAAAAATTTCATTTGAACCCCCTGGCATTCAAATCACATCTTCCTCTTTTTCAGTTACTTCCTCATTTGGGTGGCACACATTCACCAGGTACTTTCTGAGAGAGGGAAGATTGGGATGTAATTCATTTTGATTTACATATCCGAAAATGTCAGCAGTGGTATGCTTACGTCTCATTGATAGTTTGAAAACTTTCCTTCATCATTCCTTAGCCTTGCTCAGTGACCTTGTTCAACAGTCTAAAGGCTTTACGACTCTTTAACTTCTGAATATATGGTGCTGCTTCCCCTTTCAAGCAGCATTCAGAAACGTCATGACAATGTACCGTATGCAGATTTTTATTTAGTTGCTCTAATGTGTACTTTCTAAGCACATCAGATCTAGACAGCCATGTTCCCTATAGCTCTAACACATTTTCCTTAATTATTTGTTTGAAAACTTGTGTTTTCTCTTTGGGGAATTCCGTCATTTGACATTTGGATTTCCAAACCAAATGTCAAATCCTTTAAATTTTTACATTGTTTGATTTTTCCATTGAGTTGTCATTTTGTTCTCATTTCCGGATGATATATTTTTCTAGTTTTCTACTGATTTGTTGCTTTAGGGCTACTACTGAAAGTTTTCAGAGCCCTTCTTTGCTCTTAGTTAATTGCTTTATACTTATGGTAGCCTACCTTGCTTTACAATGTAAATTATCCTTAACCATGTCAGTGAATTAATTATAGATTCCCCATAGGTTCCTTACAGAATAACAACATTACCAATAATAAAAGTCGCAGCCAAGAATCATAAGCAACATGGTGGTCGGCATTTCACATTGCGTGGCAATTCTGTGGGATAGTGTTGGTCACTGAGCTCGAGTTCAGAGCCTATAATTCTGCTAGATTACTGTGGCCAAGTTACTTCACAGCGAGTAAAGGACAGCCAGCCATGTGAACGCGGGAAGCAGAATTACAAGGGAGCCGTTTCTCAGTGCTGCCCTCCCATGACTGGGCTTTGCAGAAGATAGAATCACAAATAAAGGAATTAACCTACTTTAGGGCTATAGCTAGGTACCCTGAAATGACCTAGGATCTCACTAGGACTCCTTAAGTCCAGTTCTGCATTATAGCAACCTAACATCTAGCAACCAAACAATACATTTATAGCTAATAAACTATTGTAGTATTGTGTGTCTGAGAGACAATCAGTAAGGCTGATGCCCTCAGCTGCAGCATATATACCAACCTGCCTGGTGTCACAAACCATTTCCATGAGAAAAACAATTTAAATCATGTATTTTGCCAATTGTGGTATTTTATCCATGTCTGTGTATTGGTTTTTACGTAAAATAAAACAAAGTTGCCGGGTGCAGTGACGCACGCCTGTAATTCCAGCACTTGGGGAGGCAGAGGCAGAGGCAGGCAGATCTCTGTGAGTTCGAGGCTAGCCTGGTCTACAAAGTGAGTCCAGGGCAGCCAGGGTTACACAGAGAAACCTTGTCTTGAAAAACAAAAACAAACAAAAAGTTACCTTAAAACTCTACAAAACAAACATTAGTTTCTTGGGGACACAATGGACAGTACTCTAAAGATAGCAGAAAAGGAGGACGGTGTTCGAATTAAATCACACTCTACACCAGGGATCAGATAGGAAACCCAAGAAACAGTGAAGACAAGCAGGAAACAAGATTCTGTCTTTAACCTCTAAACACACAGCTTTCCCAGTTTCACGGCATGACAATTTGGTAACTTCTGTGCCAGCCATTTTCCTGGGGCGTGCTTTTTAGTGCTAATGAGCTGAGCTTCTAAGTAATTACAGCACAAATCCCATCTAGTGAACCACTACCTCTCACTCTGGAAAATGATGAGCTAAACTCGGCTGGAGTGAACTTCCTGGTACACAACCCAAATCGGGAAAACAAGTTGTGGAACCCAAACCCCTTTAGATCTGTTACACGTTTACCAGACAGGTGGATCGGCCAGCCTTCTGCTACATGCAAAGCACCCAAGGCCTTGTTAAGCCGCGACATTTATAGCATTTGTCATCACCCCAGGACACAGAAGCTACAGTATTCACTGAGACCAAAATAGACTGGCTGTGCCATCGCAGCCATCCAAGGCATGCAGAAGAGAGACTTCAAAGTCAGCCTGGCAAGGACTTGCAGCTCACTAAGGTCTAAGTGGACAGTAAGGGCAGCCCTTGAGTGGTTCTTTGTAAACAAGGTTTCCAGCCTACTGTGAATACCCACCTCAGATCTACGGTGTGACACTTATGCTACTGCCATGCAGGTTTTGTAAATGGAGACGCTACAGTTGAATAGTTCATAGCATAACATCTGCCAGGTCTTTCTGTCAGGTCCCTCACTACCTACTTGATCACGCTAATGAAACTGTTACTAAGTACTGCGTTCCATCCCTGCCGCCGACACTGCAAATACCCAATCCCTCCCTGAGATGTCAGAGCGCCAGGCGTCTGGAGCAGCAGCTCTCAAACTTGAGGTCATGTCAGTGCGACTTGGAGGGCTGTCAAAGCCCACACTACTGGAGGAACTGTTTTAAAGGGTGGCACACAGCGTTAGGAAGGCTGAGAACAGCTGTCCTGGAGGAGAGTGAAGCTGCTCGCAGGTGTCCAGACTCTAAGGATGAATGACCGTACCCCAGCATGAAGAGTCACAATGGCGAGCTTAGGAGAAAATTCACACTGTGCATCAGAACCACCTTAGAGCTTCCTCGACACCAGAGCCCTCAGCCCCTCTCCCTGTGTATTTTGATATGATGAGCTCAGGGTTCTGGTTCTGAAAAGCCCCGTTAAAGATGCTAGTATATGATCATGACCAAGGAGACTGGCAGAGAAGTTCAATCCACTTCAGAGCCTATCTCTGTAAGTTCTATTTAAAAATGAGAGTAAACAATTGCCCACGCTCGCCTAGATAACCCTACCCTCATGCACATATGGGCAAAGTTAGCTCGACAGAGTGGTATATAAATATAAAACCACTGAAATAAAAAAAATAAGTCCAACTAACTTCTAAACCCCAGCCTGTCTACAGCAATTCTTTCACACTGAGTTCTTACAATATTTTTTTTCAAGAGACCCTAATTGTGCGCATTTAAATATATTTGAACATGACGAGGTAATTTATGAGCAAATCGAGTGTGAGTTTAGAGCGAGTTGTTCTGTTTCTGCTAAGCCATTAAGCACACCCACTCTGGAGAGCTCTGGACAGTAGTTGCTATGTGCTCCCTCACGGGGCAAGAGCGCCAGCTCTGTGTTGTTTAAGCCACACTTCCACAGTGGCACATGACCTGAGAGGACCATAATGTTGACTCTGAGTGTGTTGCCATCCACCTTTCTTTGGTATAACTCAGTAAAACAGTTACAATGGAGGCCTTGTAATTGTGAACCCCTCGTGCTAGTGAATTCTCCACCCCCCTCACCAAAAAAAAAAAAAAAGCTACTTGGAATGGCCTAGGATAGATGGAGAGAGAAAGGGAGAGACTGATAGACATACATGTATACACACATACACACATACATACATATAGAGTCATATAACAGTTCAGAGCTATTTGCTAAATGACACATACAAATTTGTCTTACAATAACAATGGCTGGGGTACAAGTGAATGACCTGCAAGTAAAATAAAAAAATTTAATTTAATTAAAAAAAAACATTACTACATGGACTACACTGCCATGTTCCGGTGTCATCTTGGCCCCACTGGACCACAGCTGCAGCAGATTTTTTTGCTGAAGCTTGAGTAAAATTTCACTATCCATGTCTTTCAACAAGCGAAAACCCTTAGGCTCTGTCCTTTCACAAACTGGGAGCCTGAGCTATATGAGATCTAATCCTCATGGCACCGTTTCTATTGTTCTAAACACAGAGCAAGAGGCTGAGCTGTAAAGGAACTAATGACCTAAACAATTAAACATTTTCGGCAAATGACCTAACTGTAACCTTATGATTCTTAGTGCTCCTCTCCTGTTCAAAGTGCGTATGTTTTTCTTTCTGCCCAACACGTCCCTCTATTTTTATTGTAGGCCTCCTACAAAAGACTGGTCAATAATAACCACTCCATCGACTCAATGTTATGGTATCTTAAATTTTTTTTCTGTCAGTTGGGTGTAGAGGTGCACGCCTTTAATCCCAGCACTCAGGGAGGCAGAGGCAGGCAGATCACTCTGAGTTTGAAGACAGCCTAGTCTACAAAGTGAGTCCTGGATTTAAAAAAACAAAAACAAAAACACACGCGTTTGCCTAAGATAGGACAGTGCAATCTTACCCTAGAGAAGATATTTTCCAAGGAGGAAGTTAAGGACCTCTTCGCTTTGTTTTTCAGAATGTCAAGCTTGAACCTCCCACCACTTGTTGAATTTTCTGGGATTGTACTATTTGAAATAATCTGAAAAAGAAAAACAGCAATGTTATAGTGTAGGCACACTCGAGGTTAAACGAGGCTTTAAATGTAGGCTTAGGAGTCAGCCGTTAAAAAAACCGCAAGCAATCTTCAGTAGCTCAATTAAGAAGTAATAATTTAGGTTCCACACTGTGAACACAAAGATTATAAGGAAAAGAGTTTAATATTGTAAGTAATAAAAAATAAAAGACAGAAAGAAAATCTTTCCTCTGTGCCTTTCCATTTAATTCACATAATTCCCACTTCATTTACCAAAAATTAAACTCAGAGTGTCTGTTTTTCTGCTGTTTTCATGGACTACCACCATCCCTTTCCAAGATGTGTTTTGTGTCCCAGTTAGAGGGGAAAATAAGTTTCCAAGAGCAGAAAACTTTGTAAACCAAGCTGTGATCTAATGACCCCTCTGTTAAAGTCTGTTTTCAAGGCTAGAGAGGTGGCTCAGTTGTTAGGAGAACTGGTTGCCCTTGCAGAGGACCCAGGTTCAGTTTCCAGTACATTGATCGCAATATTTTGTAACTCCAGTTCTAGGAGAACCAGTGCCTTTTCTGACCTCTGTGGGCACCCCATGCATATACATAGACAGACACACAGGCAGGCAGCAAAACAATCATACACACAAAATAAATAAATTAAACAAACAAACAAACCTCCATTTTTGTTTGTACATGGTCATATGCTTTTCAGATTAATAAAGTTTCATCAATAACACCCGTCAATGAGCTGCCCACTGTTAGGGGCTTTATTTCTTTAATCCCATGGCAGTGCTCTGGTGACATGAGAAAGTGAAGCTAGGGGAAACCCTGAGGGGCCCTCAAGCACTAGGTAAATCTGAAAAATGTTGATGTAAATGCTAAGAAGAGAGGCATCTGTGAGGACATTGTGATGTAGGAGAATTTGTCTCCCAGGCAAGTTTAAAAGCATGCAAAGGTCAGGGAAATTGTAGCATGGAAGAGCAGCCAGGCTGCTGGCTTCCTGTCCACACAAGAGGCCCTGCAGGGCCTGACCATCCCTGGCAACCTTGGAGGGGAGGATGAGAAGGCTCCACTGGAAAGGGAGTTTCTGCATGCCTGACCACCTGAGTCAGACTCAAGGGACACTGGTGGGAAGAGAGAGCTGACTCCTGTAAACTCTCCTCTGACCTCCACACTCGCACACATTCAAAACAAGCAAAAACGAGCCGAAGACAAAAGCAGCAGCCTTGGCTGCAAAGCCAGACACGGTGATATGAGCTTCGAATTCACTGCTGGCAAGGCTGAAGCAAGGAGATTCAGAGTTTGGAGGAAGCCTGGGCTACATCTCGACATCAAAATGTGTTACTGATGCAAAAAGCACAGCGAAATACAAAACCAGGATTTATATGCATCCTTAAGAGCTGTGCATGTAAGGATTCTCTTTGATGCTGCAGTGTTAGGTTTTTTTGTTTTTTGTTTTTTTTTGGGGGGGGGGAGGGGTGGGTTTTATTGTCATTGTTGTTAATCTCTATGCAGCTGAGAGTAAATTCAAAACTATGGGCTCAGGCATGCCAACCTTCAGTCTACAGAGAAAGCAGGCATGCACAAGCAAGACTATTGTCCTTGGCACCATTCAGATAAAACAGGCATAGAAATATGTAAAAAAAATAAATAAATAAACTAACGTAATTTTTAAAATAAGTACATTGTACATCATGAACATACATGACTACTTTTTGCTGTTTCTAATTTTTTGTTTTGTTTTGTTTTGTTTTGTTTTTTCAAGACAGGGTTTCTCTGTGTAACAAGAGCCCTGGCTGTCCTGAACTCAATTTGTAGACCAGGCTGGCCTCAAAGTCACAGAGATCTACCTGCTTCTGCCTCCCAAGTGCTGGAATCAAAGCCATGTGCCACTATGCCCAGCAAAAAATTGGTTTTCTTTTGTGTGTGTGTGTTTTTTTTTTTTTCAAGACAGGATTTCTTTATGTAGCCTTGGCTGTCCTGGACTCACTTTGTACACCAGGCAGGCCTCAAACACACAGAGATCTGCCGGCTTCTACCTCCCTGAGTTCTCAGATTACAGGTGCGCACCACTGTGCCCAGCTATGACTGTCTTCTTCCTACCCAAAATACCAAGTTATTTTATGTTCTGAAACTATAATGATTCTATCTCAATACGCCAGTGTCTGCTGAAATTTCCCATAAACTTCATAAACGCAGAATTTTTCTAAAGTACTGTAAGCACTATTCTCCCTGACAAGGATGAGCGCACAAAGGAAGGAAAGGTCTTCCATGTCCTGTGTGACAGTCTAACTGCATGTGTAAGTTAACGCACAGACAGACGTAAAGCAGGAGGAAGTCTGGTCTCACCGCCGGCCCTTCGCCGATGTGCACATGAGTCTTCTGCTTGGCTTCACAGAGCTGCCTGAGGTGCAGAATCACAAGTTCATTCTCCTCCTGGTCGCTGATGGGTTTCATTTTCTGTTGAACAGGTGAAGCGAGAACAGAGTAGGGCAAAACAGACTCTCTGTTCTTGCTGTGGCTTCAGCTAGATTTATATGTCTGGAGAATAAACAGAAACCTAGCTTTCCCATTCTGCTAGCCCTGGGGATGGACATCTTCTGGGCAATGGAACGAAAATAAGAAATCAGTGACAGGGCCCAATGTTGCTCCTTATATAGGAGAACTCTACCTGAACTCGTTCAAAGATGTCCGCTTGCTCATTGTCGGTTAGGGAGGAGAGATGCCGCTGGATTACCAGCTTGGCTCTTGGTGGGTAGAGACCTGAAAGAAGAGAGGAGTGTTAGGCAAAGGCCCAAGTCTGTGGGGGATATTACATCTGCCCCTCCCCCAGTTGGCCCCTAACTTCAATCTTCTCAAAAAAGAGGAGCCTGGAAACTGTCACTGAAAAGATGAAACCTGACATCAAACCACACTGTCAAAACCAACAGATCCCACAGTGGGCCTGGACAGAGGACAGCTAGGAAGAATCTCTAAAGCTACTAAGCACAGCCAGCTTTCATGCCCAGGGGTCTTTTCGGAAACTGATACTCCAACCAAGGACCATTCATGGAGATAACCTAGAACCCCTGCACAGATGTAGCCCATGGCAGCTCAGTCTCCAAGTGGGTACCCTAGTAAGGGGAACAGGGACTGTCTCTGACATGAACTCAGTGGCTGGCTCTTTGAGTATCTCCCCCCGAGGGGGGGGGGGGGCGGGAAATAGCCTTACCAGGCCACAGAGGAAGGCAATGCAGCCAGTCCTGATGAGACCTGACAGGGTCAGATGGAAGGGGAAGAGGACCTCCCCTATCAGTGGACTTAGGGAGAGGCATGGGAGGAAAAGAGGGAGGGAGGGTGAGATTGGGAGGGGATGAGGGAGGGGACTACAGCTGGGACACAAAGTGAATAAATTGTAATAAATTAAAAAACAAACAAACAAAAAGAAATATAGGACTACTGAAACAGGTAATCCCCCCTCGAGGGCTCCCATTTTAAATGAATAAAACTTAATTTACGGCAATTATTCTATGAAATATTCTACTTCTCTGTATTGTGATATTTATAAATCTTTGCAATTTCTTTCGTTGTCGTTGTCGAAACAGTCTCATTTTGCAGCCCAGGGCACCCTCAGATCTTGTCAATGAGCACCCCCAGTGCTGTGCAGCACACCTTTCCATGTGTGCTGGCCATAAATTCCAGCAAGCATCCCACACTCTTACACATAATTTATATTACGTCTTTGGAGAAAAAAATTTCCATAAGGACGTTTCTATTAAAAAAACAAAAGCAAAATACAAAAAAAAACAAAAACAGGCTACCTGTCACTTTATTTGGATTCTACAGAAGACATTCAGTGTATGATAAACTTTCAGATAGACTAAAACTTTAAAAATAATTTTGCATTTGAACAAGATGGATCAGAGGGCCAGGTGTGGTAGTGCACGTGTTTAATCCAGCACCTGGGAGGCAGAGGCAGGTGGAGCTCCTTGAGTTCAAGGCCAGTCGTGTCCACAAAGCAAGTCCAGGACAGCCAAGGCTACACAGAGAAACCCTGTCTTGAAAATAAAATAAAAATAAAAATAAAGACAAAGATAAAAAAAATGGATCATAGGGTAAAGGTGCTTGCTGCCAAGTTTAAACCCCAGAGACCACGTGGCAGAAATCGAAAAGCAACTCCTGCAAGTGTCCTCTGACCTCCACACGCGAGCTACGGCACACTTGAGCCCACGCACATATCCATACGTAGCAACTAAATAATTGAATACAATTTAAAAGCTAAGAAGTGATAGTCTCGGGTTGTGGTAAATGTATTCTAGAACACTAAAGCATAATTCTAGTGTTTTCTGTGCACTTCTTATTTTTACTTACAACAAATAAAGCAAAGTGGTTGACTAAAAAGACTTTCTTATGACCTAATTTGGTGTAACAGAGGTTAAACACAGAGCACTCTCGTGGTTTATAAGCGTACCGTTAGGTTTTGTAACTGGATTTCTAAGAAAAAAAACCAAAGTGACAGCTAACTGAAGCAAAGCGAGCTGTTCACATTTTAGCTGTGTGCGTGTGCTGGCGTGGGGGAGGGGGAGCCCCTGTGCATGTGTCCCCCGGAAGCCAGAGGTTGATGCTGGACATCCTCTCTCTCCCTCCCACCTTAGTTTGAAATGCCTTTGCAGCTTCAGCTCGACTGTCTTGTCATTCAGCCCCCACGACATCTGTCTCTGTCCCTCCACCCTAGTAACGGGCCTCGAGCCACATGCCATCATGCCTACCCTTTGTAAGCGTGCCACGAATCCAAACGTAGGGCCCCTTGGACTGTATGCACTCTATCCACTGAGCAACCTCCCTTTTAGCTACTTTTTGAAAACTACCCGGATCTCTGAAGACTCCATGGCAAACAAGCCCTTTCAAATTTTTGCTTCAAAAAAGGTAGAATTTGGTTCACGACTGCCAGGATTCACGCTCAGCTGGCTTACACAGGCCTCACTACAACTGAGCCTGTCGTTAATTCCCTACAAGGCATGAACAGGGACAAGGACAGTGGCTTTACAGCTCCTCAGAAAACTGTACAACCATCCTGCAAAACCAAAAGCTCAAAGACTTTTCAAACTTTATGCATGTCTTAAGTTTCCCCTATGTGTCTTTAATGGATATGCTATCTCTGCTAATCAGTAAATTAGTTTTTCGCTTACCAGTAAATTCTTGGGATGTAGCCAGCATGGTGGTACATGCTTTTAATCCCGGCACTCAGGAGACAGAGGCAGGAGGATCTCTGTGAGTTAGAGGCCAACCTGGTTTACATAGTTAGTTTCAGAACAGCCAGGACTACATAGAAAGCCTGCCTCAAAGGGGAAAAGAAAGAAAAAAGAGCCCATGCCAGGCCCAGAATCTCTCTTTCTCTGCCCTTGGGTCAGGATGAAGCTCTCAGCTACTCCTACTGCCTGCCCTCACATTCCTGCCAGGATGATAATGAACTAAACCTCTGAAACTATAAGCCAGCTCCCAATTAAGTGTTTGTTTGTTTTTTTTCCTTATAAGAGTTTCTATGGTCGCCAGCATGGTGACACCTGCCTTTAACCCCAGCACTCCAGGAGGCAGAGGCAGGCAGATCTCTGTGAGTTGGAGGCCAGCCTTGACTACTAAGCGAATCCAGGATAGCCAGGGCTACACAGAGAAACCCTGTCACCAAAAATAAAAACAAAATAAGAAAGAGTTGCCATGGTCATGGTGTCCTCAGAACAAGGGACACTGGCTAAGACAGCAAGGGTTCCAGTACCAGTCATGACTTCCTGCTTCTTGAGAGGGTTGTAAGCACTATTAGAGAGATGTTGGGTACCATTAAGATGTTGAGTACCTCCTCAGTAGTTTCACCTCTTTCTCATATGCAGAGCTTTGGCAAGTTTGGTTTCCAATCTGCCTAGCATTTACTTCCAAATAAGCAGTTACTGTTAAACAAACACTTGGAATTACTAGGTCCAAGTTTTTAGTGATTGCTTTTTTTTTTTTTTTTTTTAGTGATTGCTTTTAATGTGTTTTGTTTTTATTTGTTGCTTTTTTTATTCTGAATAGAATTTTTCCCTCTTTCAGGAATAAGAATGCTTTTTTTTTTTTTTAATTTTGCTGCTTTTATTATTGGGTTTGTTTACACTGAGGACATTCTTTGATCTAGCTGGAGTATCTTGAAGATAGATAATTGAAAGGGATCTCCCTCCCTCTGTACAGTTAGCTACTCTAACACCATCACCTCCCACACAGATTTATAATGCTCCCTTCACCAGCCACACAAACACACAAACACACACACCTTCCATTTGGTTATATACATTCCATTTGTTAAATGTTTCATGTTTTAAAATAATGACTAGTCCTTAAAAAACATCCTTATAAACTTGAAAACCTGAGTATTACCCTGAAATAGTTTTGAATGATAGAGTTGTGTGGATAGTCAATAAATCTACCGTTTAGCACATGCTTGTTTGGAGCTTAAGGGACAGAAATCTCCACAGTTGAGTCGAGGTCTCAACTTTCAAAATAAAGGAACATGTCACCAAGTGAGAGAGAGAACGAAAGGAAAAACTGAACAGTGCTCACTGAGTTTCGCTGTCTCCACTCAGTCAGCAAATGTTTGCTCAGTTCCCACTGCGCACATGTACAACCAATCATAAGAACTGTGGGAAATGCAAGCCCTTTGCTTGAATATGCCTTCAGAAGAAAAGGGAGAGAGAAAGCCAAGCATGCAGAAGCAACCGATAGCAGAAGCAACCGATAGTTTGACGAGGCTGGAGAAAGGCTCTTGGGGTTCTTGTTCACAGAGAAACAAAGGACTATTCAATGACAGTGGGACTTCAGCATGTCAGAATGCCAAAGCAAACTCCTGTCGTGCCAAGGCCACATTCTATGGTACCTTCGATCCTCTCACAGAGCTTATGCAAAGAGTGCATGGGGCAGGCCTCGCACAGCTTGATCTGTGTCTTGGCACTCTGCAGCGCAGCAGCCGTGCTGAAAGCTTGCTTCAGAGTCAGCATGACCTCATCCACCTGCAAGAAGAAACAAAACTTGTGTCTACAAAACTTGGCTTTCACGGAAACATAAAAAAATCAACAGCAATGTGAGCCTTTATAGATGTCTGACTAAATAATAAATAATAGAATTCTGATGACTAACAGAGCTGGCAGGGCATAAACAGCAAGTCTTGAAGTCAGATCTTTCATCCATATAATTAAAAGCTGGATGAAATAAGACCATTGCAGTCTGTGGCATAGAATATGGATCTGTTACTTGGATGCTATTTTCAAGTCCCACGGGCGGCTACACTATCACAGACAGCTTAATTAGCAGATCGGGTGTTTGCTTAATTAAATGACTTATCAGATAAACATCTCTTCAGAGGTTTCCTTGGGTATATACTGAGACCAACAAATTAGAGTCAGTGTTCAATTGTGTTAATAGGCATCCTATTCTTCCAGGTTGATCTTAGCGTGCATGTAAACAAAGCTTGGTTAGCCTACAGTTCTGATGGGGAATGATCTCAAGCTAAATGCCAGCAGGGAAATCCATGAATACTGCTGGCTTTGTGTCTGCACTGCCTGATTTGTTACCATTTTAATTATAATTTGTGATTCTAAGTTCTGGCCTCTAAATGCCTAAGAGTTGCCTCTCAGCATGGGGCCAGCCGCCAAGAATTGCCAGCCTATTTTCTTAATTGCTCTTGCACTGGCCCAGCATTTGAGTCAACTAGCTAGTATCCCAGTTACTCTTTTGAAGCCAAATAACTCTTCATCTTCCTCAGGCTAAAGCACCTTCTCTGTGACACAATCACTAATGGAAGTGAAGATGTTCCCATGTTTTGCAGTATTCTCATAACATTCTAAAACCATCATGGCAGAGATGTTGGATGCTAACGGCCTCATTCCAACCACGTCTGGTAAGCAAAGCCACCTATCCTGTGTATTATGTTTTCACTCGACGTTTCCCTTTCCTCCATATCCTACTCTAAGAATACGCTGTTTTGAAAGAATATTAATCTGCTTCTACATGTGAAGGTAAGAGGAGCCTGGGATATACAGTAACTTTACTAGCTTAGTAAAGCTGAAAAGAGACTTCAAAACCCTAAGAGTCAGCCATATTGTTGAACTTCATGGTATGATGAGCTTAGAAAAGTACTTAGGAAAGTAGTCATTGTTAGAAAAATAATGATGAATGTTCCCAAACTGTCACTTTATACTACAATTAAAAATAAAGATTTCGGCAGCTCAGTATCCAAGTGGATTCCCTAGTAAGGGGAACAGGGACTGTCTCTGACATGAACTCAGTGGCTGGCTCTTTGACATCCCCACCCCCGGGGGGAGGAGCAGCCTTGATAGGCCACACAGGAGGACATTGCAGCTAGTCCTGATGAGACCTGATAAGCTAAGGTCAGATGGAAGGAGAGAAGGACCTCGCCTATCAGTGGACTTAGAGAGGGGCATGGGAGGATATGAGAGAGGGAAGGTGGGATTGGGAGGGTAGGAGGGAGGGGACTACAGTTGGGATACAAAGTAAATAAACTACAATTAATATAAAATATAAAAATTTAATAAAAAAGATTTCTCATTTTTAGAACTTAAAGCATTTAATGCCTTTGAACTTTTCTTTCATTTACTTAGCTTTTTAATCAAAGGCATTTTAATTATTTATGTATATGTTCCTTTATTCTATTTCTTTTTCTCATTTATGTCAGACACTGAAGGGGTTGGCAATACATAACATACATATGCATCTATATTACATTAAAGATATAACTTATATAAACACCCTACATGTAAATACTGTGTGTGTGTGTGTGTGGTATTTGTTACCTAAAAATACTGTCTTTTCAATAGTGTCTGAAATGTTGACTACTAACCTCACCTTACCACAAATACTACTCAAAATTCCATGTGATCTACAAAATATTATGTGTTTCACTTTCTAAAACTCACCACTTTTTTCAGATGGCCTATAAATTCCATCACAAGGTCACCGCACTTAAAAGTTCAAATAAGAGTATTATGAATACAAGAAAAAACATCACAGGTCATGCCAAAAGGACAAAAGCAAAGGAACAGACAGGAGTGTGAGTCACACAAACAAAAATTAAGGATTCTTGGCAGTTGCCACCTGGCACAATTCCCATCTCACCGAACAGCATTCTATCAGACAGGGGAAGTTCATTCATATTAATAATGGACAATCCACAGTGAAGACAATGTCTATAGATATAATATAACAAGCCTCAGTATCATATTACATTTTAGATAAAAATAACTGAAGATCATAGAGCTGCCTCTCGCTAGAAATACAACAGCTGAGAAAATGAAAGCAGAGCTTGGTTTAAGAGGCTAACTAGTCAAACTAATCACATAATGAAGTGTTCTCTTTACGTGTTAGATCTGAGTGTATGAATCATGCCCATCCCTTGGTTGAATGCTCATACCACTATGCTCGTACACCCGCCCATGTCCCATCCCTCCTGCTCTTGATAGCCAAGATATATCAATACTTGTATTTTTCTACCAATAAAAATGTTTGCAAATTGTCCTGTTCTTGAAACATGAGTCTCTCTTCCTTACCGTTTTCAACATAACCCCCAAGCTGGAATCTGTCCCTTTAGCTATTCTCCACTCATTGTTTCTTACACATTAAAGATTTGTTTTTATGAGCACCATTCATATAAGCTAGAGAGAAAGGTAACTTCTAAATATGAACCTCATTCCTCTATCAGTGCATCAAAATTTTATTATAAAAATATTATTTTATTATCCCATTAAATATTAAGCTCCTGTAAACTCTAGATCATGAAGAGCTTAGATCTTTTCCTCTTTCCTTTAACTTTTAACTATACTGTAATTGGATATTTTCTGTATGTATGGAGTTTAGAAGGGTTGTTTATCAGTGGATGTAACCCTTTTGATATCCTTTCAATTGGTTTGGAAAAAGAACTTTGAAGAAATGATAATTTCTATACATTTTATGCATTTGTGAGATAATATTAACCTTCTCCCTAAGGGTAAGTTAGGGAGAAGGGGGAGGGTAGCATCTAAACTTGTGCACAGGCCCGCAGGACCAATTCTAGAACCACACAGTTCACAAACTCCTTGCAATTATTGCAAAGAAGCAAAAGAAAGTGGTAACTGTGCAGTTGGTACCCAAAGAAGACAACATACTATGTGTGATTTGGGAATCTTTGTCTTCCACCAATGCCAGGCCAGCCACGTCACTCATCAAGCTGCCCCGGCAGGTATTTACTGACAACTGTTCTGCTCTGTTCTGTTTGATGGGCTGGAGATTTAGTCATTTGTTAACATGTTTACCTCACAAGCCCGAGTTAAATCCCTAGAACTCATGTGAAAACGCCACATGTGGTAGCATGTAATGACAACCCCAGTGCCGGAGAGCTGGAGACAGGAGGGTCCCTGGGGCTCACGGGCTAGCCAGCCTGGCCTAATTGCTGACCACAGAGAAGACAGGCACTATTCCTAAAGATGACACCCAAGATTGCCCTCTGACCTCAGTGCATACGGGCATACGTGTTCATGTGCACACACTTAATTACCTTCAACCACCTTGTACGTGTACACACTCACATATTTAAATTACACAAGTAAATACTGTCCATAAATTCATCTAGTAATGGTGATGTAGGCATGTGAAGGTCTGTGTTACAATGAAAAAGAATCCTTGATGTGTGGTTTAAAAAAAAAAAAAAAAAAAAAAAAAACCTTAGAGAAGAAAAAAAAAATCAATGTATTTCTTGGCCAGATGTACTCGAAGCCTGCCTTACACAGCTCTTGTCAAATAGAGAGGCATACGAAGTGTTAGCGAAAAATTGACTTGCAAATTCTAAAGAAACAAAATAAATGGAGTGTTTTGAAAATTAAGACAGGGTATTGAAAAAAGCGGGGAGAACAGTTCTTTAGTTTCTTGATGGAAGTAAGTGCATAATTTCTGATGCTATGGCAATAAGGAAGAGACCGGTGCCTTTGTCACCATCTTTAAGCAAAAGGAAACATAACGGCTTTCTTTCCCCCGCCATTAATCTTTTCCTCCTCTAAAAAACAAACAAAAGCCATGGCAACACAATAGTGTCTATTAAATCCAAAAGAGCACTCCAGCACCCACGAAGAGCCACAATGATCTGTCTGTGGCTCTCTACTTCCGTGCATCTTTCAAGGGTAAGAATATCTCTCTAGGTGCCCTTTTCTTTCCTCAGTGAGAACTGAGTCCCCACAGAGGACCCAGAGCGCCACAGGCAGAAGCACCAGGAGGCGACACCCCCAATTACCAGAGATTCGTTGGCACACTGGAACACGTAACAGATGTACTGGCTCAGCCCCGGCTCCGGAGACTCCCGACAGATAAAGCCGAAGTGATCAACATGCTTTATTCCCTAGGTGAAAAGAAAGAAATACAAGCAGTGCTTATGGGAACGTGTTCTGAGAGAGATGGACACCATCTCTGCACTCTCCCAACTCCGCAAGTTTCTCCTTCATGGCAATTCGACAGAAGACGTAATGTCAGAGCAGGCTCACAGGATGCCCCAGATGCAGCAGATAAACTGACACATCCACTCAGACCCTTTGCTTCCTGATTAAAAAAACATTACTGCTGTGATTCATTTCTTATAATGAAAACATGATGTCTGCCTGTAATGAGTTTTCAATTTATTGTCCTAGAACAGCAGTCAGAGATTCACCATAAAACCCTTTCTAGTTCATGCGAAGCTGTAAATCTCAGAAGAAGTACAAGTGACGGTTCTCAAATTAGATGCCATACAATGCCATAAAGTTCTTATGGAAGTTGCTGAGACATTTGTCAACTCAAGGAACAGCAGAAGATCTATATTCCTGTTCACTTGTTCGTTCATTACTGCGAGTACCAATAACCCACATGCACAAATCACTGTACTTTCTTTATGTAAGTTAAAGGAGTTCAGCTATATTCACTTTAATTACAAATTCAGCCTCTGAGGTGATGAAACGGCTCAGCAGTAACTGCACATGGTACAGAGCCTGGAAACCCGAGTTCAGTACCCAGAATCCAAATAAAGGTGGAAGGAGAGAACCAGTTCCACAAAGTTATCCTCTGACCTCTACACACGTGCTACAGCATACACATGTGAACACACACACTGATATTAATAAGTCTTCAAAATGAAAATGTTTAAATGTAAAAACTGAGCGAATACGCACAGACCGGTAAGGAATCAACACCTTGTCTCAACAGCTCAGTGATTTGAAAAGCCAGATGATGGGAAATATTAAGCGTGCATGATATCACCAGAATTCATACGAAAAGAAGGACAGTCTTTGGGATCAGATTCACACTTAAATTTGGGCCCAGCTGATAATGTAGGTATGAGATATGGTGCTGACAACCAGCTCCTTTTTCTTTATTTTTACCCCTATTACAAAACTAGCATAATATCACCCACTGTGAGAACAGTGTGAGAGCTGAGAAACAACAGCCGTAATGGCTCCAAGAGTTAGTAAGCCTGACCGCTGTTCTTTCTCACTATGGTGTATTCAATCTGTCCAATGGACATGGCCAAAAAGAAATGGACTCTGTTTTTCTAATAAAGGGTGAGGGAAGCAGAGGAGAGTGAGGCTGTGTGTGGCGTAAAATGAGCTCCAGCTGGCACAACTCGGGTGAAAGAGCTCTTATTGCTGGCTTAGTACTAAGTGGAAAGGAATCTCAGAGAGCCCCATCAGTGGGCCTTCTGATGTGGACAATGCTTCCCAGAAAAAAAAAATTCCCTGACCCCCATGAAGTCCAGCAAGTCACACCACTTCCCTTCTAAAGGAAGACATCTGGAGGTGGAAGGTACTCAAAGCAGACCAGTTGTTGAACACAGCCACCTTGTACCCATTTGTCTCCTGAAGGAAGCTATGAAATTGGCTCAGGAGAAGGGGCTAACTAGATGCTGTGGCAGGCTGCCTTCCCTCCAGTTTCCCTCTTGCTGCTCTCTGATTGTTTCCTGAATGAGAATTTCATAATGCAGAGCTTGTCTTCAACGAAAGGAAGAAGGAAAAGGAAAAGATCCTATTTGAACTTTCACATCCACATATTGGGTTTGGATCTGTTCTTTGTCATTGCTTGTGCTCATGTTCATTTGCATAATCAATGTGCATTGATATATGTCCTGGACAGCTCAGGGAAAGTAGGGTAGGAGGCGCTGACTCCATGGATGTTCCTTGGTACCAGGTTGAGCATGAGATAAACTTGGGCTACACATCACTCTTGCTGTAGCACGTGGCACAAGGCCATACATGGAGACTCATTCACAGTGGCCATGTGTACTGAACACCTAAGGGCTCCATCTCAGTACATGAGATCCTAATGTCCCCGAGTAAGACATAGTCACATCATGAGTTCCCAGCCCATGGAAGACTTGTGATCTTTGAGGTATCTCCTCATAAACAGACAACTACAAGAATACTTAATAAATATTGGGGGAGGGGTTAAAATCATATTCCCACAAATTTTCTGTGTTCCTTAAATAAGAATTTCAAAGTTTGCAATATAACCTTCCTATATTCAAATGCTACTGCTCTCTAAGTTGCTAGAATAGACAATGTTTATCGATCAACAAAATTAAAACAAGGGATTAAAAATAAAGGTATATTAGCTAAAGCAAACAACTAATAAATCATACAAAAAAAATCCTTGTCATCAAAAGAAAGTCTGAATGTCACAACAAGAGCAACATTGACTCCAAAATTCAAATAGATGAAATAGATGATAGAGAAAGAGAAGGAGATAGTTGCCCAATAGAGAGATAGTGAGAGAGATAGATGGTACATGATAAATACAATGTTGTAATGTTTACAAGTGTGACTCTTCGTCTTTAATGGCTGAGCTATTTGTCTAGCTGCCATTTTCAAAATGAAGAGATATTCATATGGAAAGAACATATTCTTGAATGTACCTTAAGTCGCCAGACCAAAAACAAAAGGTAATTAATTCTTAGCCCTTAGAGATGTCTTTGAATATGTAACCTTTCCATGTTTTGACCTAAATGGAAACTTCTTTTATGACAAGTGCAAATGTTCTCATATTTACAAGATATTTAGGTAGCTCAAACTTCGGGGTAGATGTTTTAAAGCTTTATTATAGCCTATGACCAAATATTATAATATTATTACATTTGTTTCTATCAAATTTTTCAAATCATACATATTTTGGGAAGTACCAAAAAGATTCTTTTCAAAATTTACCATTTATGGTAACAGACACTAAAAAAACAACTTCTCCTTTTATCACCTGCTACGGGATAAACAACAAACATATCTCGGTGACACCCACGAGACCCACACCACAGCCCACGAGTCTGAGTAATACTTGCTGTGAGGTAATTTCAAAAGAACTCGCCGTTTCAAAACTCCCACGAGCAGGAGAGGCTGGGTGAAACATTCTAAGACAAAGAGCTAAAAAGAATGAGGGAGAAGAGGTCTGATGGACACTAGGGGTCCTGGGAAGGGCTCTGCTGCCACAGAAACGAATACAAGTGTGTTTTGATGGTAAGGGAAAAATGGTTTTAAACATTATTTTTCTTAAATTTAGGCTCCGTGATGGAGCAACTCTCCCACCATGTTTAAGAAAAGTCCTAGGTTCATTCTTCAGGGAAGGAAAGGGAGGAAAAATGAAGGTAAAAAAGAAAAAAAAAATGCTTCATTTAAAAACTATGAATATAGGATATGTCAGCCCAGTTGCTGTGTGGCTAATTTTGGAACATGATGATTGGTTTCTTCACACGCCATGCTGTGACATGACACATACCTGAGAACAAGAGGATATATCTTTGAAATTCTTCTCTAGCACAACTGATTTAGTGTCTGGACTGATGAGGTTGATCTCAAAGCGGCCGACCTTTAAAAGTAAAGGAAAATACTCCACTTAGTCCAGCTCATGGGACCCCAGTCTCACTTGGCAATTAAATGTGCAACCACGGCAATTCAAATGACGTGGTCCAGACAAACCCATTTCACGTGTGTTCTGTCATATAAGTCAACCCAAAGTCAGCTGTCCCAAACCATTTCTTTCCTCTGTTGGAAAATTAAGCGACCTTAAGTTTTTATTATTCAAGCCAAAGAATACAAATCTTTTTTGCAGTTAAGAAATGACTTCCTAAAAAATAAAAAAGAAATGACTTCCTTAGGGGAGGAAGACATCTCCTATCAGTGGACTGGGGGAGGGGAGGGAGGGAGGGTGGGATTGGGAGGTGAGGAGGGAGGGAGCTACAGGGGGGATGTAATTAATAAAAATAAAAATTAAAAAAAGAAATTACTTCATTCTGGGGGCTGGAGAGATGGCTCAGAGGGTAAGAGCACTGGCTGCTCTTCCAGAGGTCCTGAATTCAATTCCCAGGAGCCACATGGTGGCTCATAATCATCTACAATGAGATCTGGTGCCCTCTTCTGGCGTGCAGGCATACATGCGGGCAGAACACTGTGTATGTAATAAATCTTTTTTTGAAAAAAGAAAAAAAAATTACTTCCTTTTCAAAAATATGCAATCTGGGGCTGGAGAACTGGCTCAGGAGTTGAAATCACTTGTTGCTCTTACTCTTGCTCTTGCTGTTTGCCAGCCTATCTGATAAAAGAATTCTAGGTTCAAGGAGAGGCCCTACCTCAAAGGAACAGGGCAGAGTGGTAGAGGATAAAACCTAACTTCTGCCCATGGCATCAGTTCCAGATATACGAGCACACATTATTACCCCTCTCTCCTTCCCTCCCCACACGTGCACACACACACACAATTATCTTTTATACTCAAGGTAGCTGTATCATGTTATTTAATAATTGGCCTAGTGAATTATCAGGCCAATGGTGTTTCTGTACTTCTCCATTTCTGGTGGCAAAGTGAATCGGTGATATATATATATATATATATATATATATATATATATATATATATATATATATATATATATATATATATACATACATATACATATATATATATTATAGTTATATATTTATATAGTCATATATAGTCATACATATGACATCTGTAAGTCTCTGCAACCTGACTCCTTCTCTCTAGAAGAACTCATTTTGCTCTGTTCCATGTCAAATCCTACTCTCCAAGATTCAAACCTTCAAATCATCAGTAAGACTACAGTTTTATTAAAGAATGCACGAATGCACTTAGGGATCAACCAAAGCCGGAGGCTAGTGATAGACACCCAGCGTCCATCACATGATTCCTCTCAGATGTTAACACACGCCGTTCATTCTCTCTGCCTCTCTGGGGTCTGTGATGCATCTGTGTTCCTTCTCTGTCTGATAAAAAAAGAAGCAGGGAGTTCACTGTGGCTACTGGAGTGAGCAGAAAGGGAAGAGAGACAGATGGGTCAGGACTACTGGGAGCATAGCTTAGTCTCTGAAGTGTAAGCAAGAGGACAAGTCCCAGGGCCCAGTTTAAGAAACGGGGGGGGGGGGGTAATTGTCAAGTGCTTATACAGCTGTTGTTGAGAAAGAAGAGGCAGTGAATCACTGGGACTCTGCTAGCGAACCTTGCATGCATCCAGAATTCCATACCAATAAGCGACTCTGCCTCAAACCAGAAGAGGAATGGCTGATGCCTAGGAAATAGAGCCCAAAGGTTGTGTTCTGGCGTCCACATCCTAGGCATACGTGGACAAAACACACACTTTCACCCTCTGACCAATGAGAAGCTACAGCTGCCCAGCATTTTATGAAGCTGCAAGCCAAAAGCCCCCTGCGAGCCTACCTGGAAGAGCATGGTCCTGTTCTTCTCCGAATCTGAGGGCTGCACGTGACTGGGCGCGCTTGCGTGCCTCCTCCTTGGCTGTGTTTTCTGGCTGTTCTCATGAACCTTCTTTTGCATGACGGCGGTGACGCTGCTGCACCGAGAGCGGAACTCTTGCTGCTCATCAAAGCCACAGTCTTCCAAAATCCTCTCCGGGAAGCAAACCCGTGAGCCGGCCAGGGTGGGTTGGCTAGCCAGGGAGGGCAGGGCACGGTGGCTGTTGAGTGTACCATCTGCCTTCTCAGGCAGGCTGTCGTCTGGGGACACAGGCGACTCAGCCTCAAAGACGCCCACCTCGTCCCCGGGGTCTCCTCCTCTCTCGCCCTGCAGCCTGAGACGCTGCTGCTCGTGCAGGCTGAACTTCTCCTTGCAGTCGTCAATGAGGCTAGAGGGTGCCTTCTTGTGGGTCACGATCACCCTACCACAGTACAGCACCTCGAACTTCTGAGAGTTGTAGAAGGCGTCCTCATTGTCTTTGCTGGGTTTGGAGTCCTCCTTCATGGCAGCCTTGGATAACTGCCTGATGCTGCTGATCACGTCGGGGACCTGGGGAAACAATTGACGTCCTCCTTTACACGGCACGTTCCGAGATCGTGTTTGTTTACCTGACCTCGTGCGAACACACAGAATAGATTTTCAAGTACCGTAGCACCTACAGCTGTCAGAGTTGGTACATTAACTGCTTCAAGGTAAGTCTGACATTTAATAAGAGTATTGTATTTTCCCACTTTAACTGTATTAGTGTCAGTCAAGCATGGTGATTCATACCTGTTAACCTCCCACCCCACCTTGGTGGTAGGCTGAGGCACGATGGGTTATTGCAAGTTTGGAGGCTAGCCCGGGCTATAGCGTGAGGCAAGTATCTCAAGATCAACAAAAATACTAGGTTGTCCAAAGCAAAACACGAGATTATTCAGGCCACAGAACCTTCAATAAATGATACCTTTTACTCATACATAAAAACTGGGATGCCCTCTGCTGGAAGTAACAGAAGTTCCAGCAGTGAGATTAAACCCAGGCACCCTCATCAGGATTAGCAAACTGAACCAACCAGGGCGAAGCAACGCCTGAGGACTAAATGTGCAAGGAGCGGCTGCAATTCTCAAGCACCTTGGGCAGGACTATTCAACGATACAGGACTTTACAAAATTGTTAAACAGCTACTTAGATGGAGCCGAACCTCCACCACATCAGTGCACACACCTAGACACAAACAGCACGCCTCCGGCTATTTTCTTTTTCTATTTTTTTAAATCTTCATTCTATTTTTATTAATTACAGTTTATTCACTTTGTATCCCAGCTGTAGCCCCCTCCCCTCCCCTCCCAATCTCACCTTCCCTCTCTTCTATGCCCCTCCCCCAGTTCAATGATAGGGGAGGTCCTCCTCCCCTTCTGTCTGACCCTAGTCTATCAGGTTTCATCAGGACTGGCTTCTTTGTCTTCCTCTGTGGACTGGTAAAGCTGCTTCCCCCTCAGGTGGAGGTGATCAAAGAACCAGCCCATGAATTCATGTCAGAGATGGTCCCTGTCCCTATTATTGGGGAACCCTCTTGGACACTGAGCTGCTATGGGCTACTTCTGTGCAGGAGTTCTAAGTTATCTCCATCATGGTCCGTGTTTGGAGTATCAGTCTCAGAAAAAAACCCTGTGCTCCGATTTTTTTGGTTCTGTTGCTCTCCTTGTGGAGCTCCTCTTCCCTCCAGGTCTTTCTATCTCCCCCTTCTTTCATAAGGTTCCCTGCACTCTGCCCAGAGTTTGGCTATGAATCTCAGGATATGTTTTGATACACTCCTGGGTAGAGTTTTTCAGAGGCCCTCTGTGACAGTCTCCTATCCTGTTCCCTGTTTTCTCCCTCTTCCAATGTCTATCCCATTTGCCTTTCTGAGTGAGGATTGATCATCTTACCCAGGGTCCTCCTTCTTGATTAGCTTCCTTAGGTGTACAGAATTTAGTATGATTATCCCATATTATATGTCCAATATCCACTTATAAGTGAGTATATACCATGTGTGCCTCCGGCTATTTTCAATTCTATAGAACAGATTATGAAAGAAAGACAGACTTTGTTTTTAAAGGATGGAAATGTCTGTCTTTATTTTTTTTCTCCCATTTTTCTCCAGCTTCAAAAGCACCTAGAATAATTCCTGTATCATAGCAGACCCCAAATATTGGTATTAGCCCCCCAAATTCTTTTATTATTCTTTATTATCATTATTTTAGGAAAAGGAAACACCGATCTCAGGTTGCTCCATATTTTGACATGTGTGTCTTGTCCCTAAATCTTCTACCAGGATTTCTTCTCCTTCACAAAGTTGCTTAGGATTCGATGTTAGAGCAGCCATCGCTTTAAGAAAAATGCACATCAGCAGGCAGGTATGAGGGTTCTCTGAGGAGGGTAAAGCCTCAGTGACTCACCAAGGAGGTCCGTCACATGAAAGAAAAGTCACGTGCCTAATGTGTAACTCTGAGTCTTGGCTCTGTCTTAGCACATGACTTACTCCACCGAAAGAGTCCAAAGTGTTGGAGCGTGAGCTAGCTGATACTCAACCCTACTACAAAACATACTTGTTTCAGTATACTGCACACAGACTCATGAGAATGAGCTATTCCTCCTTGTCAACTCTGAGCCAGTAAACACGCTTCACCTGATTATCAACCCAAGGATCCCTGACCTTCAGGCATCTAGAGTACAAAATCAGAAGCATTATCTGTAGGAATACACACATGTATGCATGTATGTATGTATGTATGTATGTATGTGTGTGTGTATGTGTGTATAGATATACACATACGTGTGTGTGTGTGTGTGTGTGTGTGTGTGTGTGTGTGCATTGCATGAGCGGCTGATGCCTACAAAGGCCAGAGGAGAGCTTCAGATCCCCTGAACTGGAGTTAGGGATGGTTGTAAGCCACTGAGTAGGTGTTAAGACTCAAACCTGGATCCTCTGCAAGAACAGCAAGTGTTCTTAACTGCTGAGCCATCTCTCCAGCCTCTTGTAGGAACTTTTTATGTGTGTTTTTGTTTTCAAATCTCACTGCTACTATTTAGTTTGGGTACAGCCTGAGAGCTAGATTCTACAAGTGAGACTGAATACAGCCGGCTCATCACTACTCTTGTTCAAGTCCTGGACTCTGGACTCTTTGACCTTTCCTTAGTCTTGTATGGAGAACAGAGACCCCTGCGGTGAAAGCCTAACCAGTGGCTGAACTGCTATAGCTGCTGGAACTCTTCTCTGTGACCACAGAAAAGGCCCACCACTTCAGAGAAAGTCAGTAAAAGGCTCTATTTACATAAGCAGAGCCTGCCATCCACAATTCTAAACCGAGTGGGTAATTTAACCTTCCAGTAATTTACCATGTTTACACCACAAAACTGATTCCAATTGCCTTTAATATCTTCTCCCAGACTGCGACTCACCACAGATGCTAACCACAAAACCAAGCTAAGGTGGTCCAGCTCCGTTGATGCTTTTCCTTATGTGACAGACACAGAGAAGCAAATGGAGCATCTTACAGTTCCTGCCCTCACCCCCATCCCACACCAGAAAGAACGAAATGTTCATTAACATTACTGTGAGGACTCTAAGGTATCCACAGTAGAGAAATAAATTATCAGAGAAACACACACACACAAATACAAATGTTCTTTTTCTGCATTTGCTTATGAGACCCACCAGAAACATTGTGATAGAATTAGATGCTTTCTCCATAACTGGCATATGCCTGTTTGGTAGAATTAATAGCACTCTCCTGTCAATATGTATTTATATGTGCACTATAAACAGTGCTGAATAAACCTGAGTCCTCTGTACATGCATTACATCTCTCCAACATGTCATCCAACGTGACACATGAGGATATTTATGTGAGAAAAAAATCTAAGTTGTGGTAACTCATGTCTTACCAGAATTCTTTCCTGTGGCCAGTAGGAAAAGCTTGGGCTCATAACTTGAATGAATACTGTCAACTGTGTGTGTGTGTGGGGGGGGGGATTGTATGTGCTGCTTATACTCAGGACACATGGCCCCGTCAAAAATAGGGAACCATTGCTTCTCCCTTTGCTCACTGCTCATTCAAGGTAGGAAGTTCCCGTGTGCTTCCAGAACACCCCCGAAGGCTGCAGAGCACCTCACCACACACAGCCTCGCTGTGCATTCCAGTTCCTTGTGTTGTGGCAACAGAGATCTCCGCTGCTCAGACGCTGCCTGCAGCCCACACAGCCTGATTCAGGCTTACGGTTCATTCAAGGCGCCGGCTTCATTCTAGGCAGCATTTACTCTCTAACAGAGTCAAAGCCGGAAAAGATGCCAGCCAGCTCGACCTGAGGAAGTTTATGTTCCAGGACCAGCTCTGCTGATGTTCTCACAGTTCCTGCTGGGGAGTGCTGTTGCACCTCTGCAGGCTAGGGTTCCCTCAAGAACGAAAGGCAACAGATGGACCAAAAAGAGCGCACTTAGCCAAAATCTGTGACTCTGTCTCCAGATCACTGTCAACATAACACAAGAAAAGGAAAACTTCGATCATTTTGACATTGAGCCAGGAAAGGCCTACGATGTTGGAATTATTAATCTCCAATAATGCATGATAACGTAACAGACAGTACAACAAAGGGAGCTTTCTCAAGTGTCTGGTGCCATTTAGAAAAGGCACAGTGCCACCTTTGGCTGGTATTTTGTTGTTAAACCTCCAGAGACCCAATAAAACAACAGATTTGAGTACCAAGTCTCACACATTAAAGCAATCCACACTCAGGAGCTCTCCAGTTCCTCCCCAAAGCTCTACTAGCTCCACTGATTCTGTGTTGCTATTTGTCATCAACTAAACCTGACTATTTAACATACTCAAAAATATTAGTACTTTCACATGACAAATCTGCCCAACTCAAGAGAACACCAAGACTATCATGTCCACATATTTGTCTAGACTTTAGACTCTAAAGGCTTCAGAAAATCCTGGTGTGCAAAAAGCACCAAGGAAAGATACCTTTGATCAGGAAGCCAGCTGACACTGGTGTCTTCATAGACAGCATTATGCTAGACTGAGGCCCTCCCCAGCTTGCCCCTCTGTCTTTCTCGCCCTCTGAACAAGCCAGCTGCCATTTTAGTGTTGTTATTTAGGTCCATGTTATCACTGTGTGGCCAATGAGAAGACTTCTCAACCATAATTGCTTCAAAAGTTACATATTTCCTGAGTCTGAATCAGGAAATAACACAGATTGCTCGAGATGAAAGTGCCAAAGCTTTGGCTTTAAAAGAAGAAGAAGAAGAAGAAGAAGAAGAAGAAGAAGAAGAAGAAGAAGACATGCTTTATTTTTAATGGCTATTCCCTTTTTTCTGCTCTTTAATAATGGGACTGACATTCACAAATGGTTCAGATAAGAGAAGATTAATCTACACCATGAGTTAATTTTCCTAACAGGGCTCAGATAGACTTCAGTAAATATTTTTAAATGGATGCAAGTCGGAGTGTAAGAGTATACTTCCTAAAATAACACATTTGAAAGATCAGTTAGATCCAATATTTACAACTGATGTGAGCCTAGCT